GTACGTGAAGCATGTGCAATGACCTTTTCTGATTTATCAGGAAAGACGTGACATATAAATGCACCAATACCTTTACCTGATGCATCTGCTGCAACCTTGATAGGTAATTCTGGGTTGTAGTGTGTTAACAGCAAATCTGAGTTCAAAAGATCTTTGAACTTTTGAAACGATTTTTGACATGCAGCTGTCCACTCAAATTTGACATTGTCTTTCAATAAGTTATCAAGTGGTGCTCTCAGATTGCTCATTTGATGAATATATTTACCATAATAGTTTATTGATCCAAGGAATGATCTCAATTCTTATGTATCTTTTGGTGGTGGTATATCTATGATGGTTTTGATTTTATCAGGATCTGGACGTAAACCATCTTGTGACATTATGTTGCCAAGATATTTGACTTCTTTGGAAAAAAATTTTCAAACTTGATGTGAAAATTGAATTCACGTAGCTTTTCAAGAACTTTGTTTACATTTTCCAAATGTTTTTGAACTGTAGATCCCCCAATTATGATGTCGTCTATATACGCTGCAGCGTCGTCTATACCCATAAGCATTGTATCCATGATTTGTTGGAATGCGCCAGGAGCACTTTTAACGCCAGGTGCTAAACGATTAAACGTATAAAGACCTTTGTGTGTGTTTATAGTAAGAAGTTTTGCTGACTCTGGTGTAACTTCTGTTTGAAGGTAAGCATCCGAAAGATCAAAGTGAGTAAATAAACAACTATTTGCCATTTTTGCATACATATCTTCGGGGCGGTGAAGAGGGTAGTTATGAGGTTCTAAGCTATCATTCAATCCAGTTGAATAATCCCCACATATACGGATTTTTCCATTTGGCTTCTACGGCAACTATGGGTGCTGCCCAATCAGAGTGACTGACAGGTGAAATTATTTCTAGTGATTGTAGACGGTTAATTTCATCTTCTATTAGTGGAAGCATAGCGTATGCCACTGGCCGTTGTGCTCGAAAAATTGGTTTGGCATCTTTCTTAAGGTGTAGCTGAACTTTAAATTTAGAGCATTTTGCTGGAGTATTTTGAAATATATCAGCAAAATCTTGTCTAATTTTAATTAGGACATCAGGGCCAACTTGCGTCTGATTGATTTGACAACAAATTGTATTCAGCGGTTGTTCCCATATGCGAAAAACATCACACAGATCTGTACCAAATATTAAAAGCGTATCAATTTCTACAACGGAAAAACTACATAATTGTACTTCACCTTTTAGCCTGACTTGACAATCAAACTCGGCTAAAAGATTGATTTTGTTGTTGGATGCACTGGTTACATATCGATTATTAAATTTTTTTCCTGGTTTACCCATTTTTATCCAAAGTGATTTACCAATCATTGAAATATCTGATGCGGTGTCAACTTGCAGTTTGACATCGAAACCTGAATTGTTTTGACTCAAGGGCAAAGCTTTGATATTGACATTGACATATTTGCGCCTTGATGCATGCGAAATTTTGTTGATTTGAACAACATTTGATTTGGGAGAGCCTGATTTGCTCTTGTGATTCTTATTCTTCTTTTTATATGTGAATTTAGTTTGAGATGAACTATTTTTAATTGAGGCTTTACAATATCCTTCTTTATGACCAACAATATTACATTGACTGCACTTGTGATTAATGAAATTGCAATACTTGGAGTAATGCATTGAACCACAATTCCAACATGGAGTTTTTGGAATATTCTTATCATCTTGTTTGGATTTTTGAAAATTTGATTTAGATTTTATTGTTTTAACAGATGTTGTATTATCCTCAACCATAGCAGCATCATGTTTAAGATTCATCATTCTTTGAGCTGTTGTCACTAATTTGTTGACTGTCTGATCTGAATCATCTTCAAGAATTGACAAAGACTTCATTCGAACTTCCAAATCTGAATGAGATTGAAGTCCACACACAAAAACTAAACATTTAAATTGATCAGCATTCATTTGTGATAATTTAAATTGTTCACATGATTCATTTATACGAGCTGCGTAAGATGCTAAATCTTCTTGAGGGTTTTTAACCATTTGAAGGCACTTATATCGTAAACTGAACAAAGATTCTTGTATACCATACATGCTTTTTAGGATCTGCACTGTTTCAGCAAACGAAATGTGCCTTACATTTCTGGGAAGAATGTAGGCAGCATATTTTCCATAAGCGATAGTGTTCAATTTTCCCATTAAAAGTCTTACTTTGGCTGCGTCATCCAAATCCTTACCATCCACCAAAAATATGTCTTCATGGCGGCTGTACCAAACATTGAACGTATTTGTTGCATCATAAACGAATTCGGAAATTGAATTTGCAAGTTTATCCATTAATTGTTCTTGAGTAATTGAAACTCCTGCTGATAATCTTGCTAGGATTTCTCCTTGCTTCTGTAGTAATTCCAAAATCTTAGGATCTGTTGCCATTATCCTCGTCGCCACAAAATTTGTTATGGTTTGAATAACAAATATATCAATTTATAAAAGAAATAAGTTTATTTAAATTCAAAAAGTTAAACAAGAACGAAAAATATTTTCATACAAATTGAAAATAATGGAAAATAATTTCAATGAAGTAAAGTTTATAATATAATTTTATAAACAAGTAAAACTGTTTCAAGTGTTTTCTACAATATATTTAAATTCGTGAACAAAGTTTAATGGCTCTAAATAGCGAACAATTTTTTTTTTAATTTTTAGGGATTTTTTAATTTGTAGAAGCATTTATTTTTAATGTAGGGAATCCCCGAATTAATAAATACCATAGTATGCCATTATTTTAAAGGTATTTAATGCTAGTAGCTCTATGTAACTTGTTGCGGTATGTTCGTGAATTTATTTTTAAAATTAGTGATGTCTAAAAACAGTCGAAAGTTTTTATCCTTAAATGAAAAATGCGAAAATTTTTTACAGTGTTTTTATCCAAAGTGATTTACCAATCATTGAAATATCTGATGCGGTGTCAACTTGCAGTTTGACATCGAAACCTGAATTGTTTTGACTCAAGGGCAAAGCTTTGATATTGACATTGACATATTTGCGCCTTGATGCATGCGAAATTTTGTTGATTTGAACAACATTTGATTTGGGAGAGCCTGATTAGCTCTTGTGATTCTTATTCTTCTTTTTATATGTGAATTTAGTTTGAGATGAACTATTTTTGCCTGAGGCTTTACAGTATCCTTCTTTATGACCAACAATATTACATTGACTGCACTTGTGATTAATGAAATTGCAATACTTGGAGTAATGCATTGAACCACAATTCCAACATGGAGTTTTTGGAATATTCTTATCATCTTGTTTGGATTTTTGAAAATTTGATTTAGATTTTATTGTTTTAACAGATGTTGTATTATCCTCAACCATAGCAGCATCATGTTTAAGATTCATCATTCTTTGAGCTGTTGTCACTAATTTGTTGACTGTCTGATCTGAATCATCTTCAAGAATTGACAAAGACTTCATTCGAACTTCCAAATCTGAATGAGATTGAAGTCCACACACAAAAACTAAACATTTAAATTGATCAGCATTCATTTGTGATAATTTAAATTGTTCACATGATTCATTTATACGAGCTGCGTAAGATACTAAATCTTCTTGAGGGTTTTTAACCATTTGAAGGCACTTATATCGCAAACTGAACAAAGATTCTTGTATACCATACATGCTTTTTAGGATCTGCACTGTTTCAGCAAACGAAATGTGCCTTACATTTCTGGGAAGAATGTAGGCAGCATATTTTCCATAAGCGATAGTGTTCAATTTTCCCATTAAAAGTCTTACTTTGGCTGCGTCATCCAAATCCTTACCATCCACCAAAAATATGTCTTCATGGCGGCTGTACCAAACATTGAACGTATTTGTTGCATCATAAACGAATTCGGAAATTGAATTTGCAAGTTTATCCATTAATTGTTCTTGAGTAATTGAAACTCCTGCTGATAATCTTGCTAGGATTTCTCCTTGCTTCTGTAGTAATTCCAAAATCTTAGGATCTGTTGCCATTATCCTCGTCGCCACAAAATTTGTTATGGTTTGAATAACAAATATAACAATTTATAAAAGAAATAAGTTTATTTAAATTCAAAAAGTTAAACAAGAATGAAAAATATTTTCATACAAATTGAAAATAATGGAAAATAATTTCAATGAAGTAAAGTTTATAATATAATTTTATAAACAAGTAAAACTGTTTCAAGTGTTTTCTACAATATATTTAAATTCGTGAACAAAGTTTAATGGCTCTAAATAGCGAACAATTTTTTTTTTAATTTTTAGGGATTTTTTAATTTGTAGAAGCATTTATTTTTAATGTAGGGAATCCCCGAATTAATAAATACCATAGTATGCCATTATTTTAAAGGTATTTAATGCTAGTAGCTCTATGTAACTTGTTGCGGTATGTTCGTGAATTTATTTTTAAAATTAGTGATGTCTAAAAACAGTCGAAAGTTTTTATCCTTAAATGAAAAATGCGAAAATTTTTTACAGTGTTAAGTAAAAAGTATAAAGTTGCAAAATCAACGATATGTTCAATAAAAAATACAATATTTTAAAATGTGTGAACAATACGTTTTATGGACCCGGAAAACGCAAAACATTACGATCTTCAGAGCTTCCAAAAATGGAAAAATTGCCCTATAAGTGGTTTATTTGTATGCGGAATAAAAACCTTCCTGTAAGTGGGTTGATGTTGAAAGAGAAAGCCAAACATAAGTGAAAACGGAAATGACTTCAATGCTAGCGATGGGTGGCTACAAAAATTTAAAAAGAGATACGGAATTCGGCTCCTTCAGATAAGCGGTGAAAAACTTTCTGCGCAATCTCAGTTCGTAAATCCTTTTAAAATTAAATTGAAAGCAAAGATAGAAGATTTGGGTTTATCCAATGATCAATTGTGTAATGCCGATGAGTCTGGTCTATATTGGAAACTTCTCCCACAAAAGACATATGTAACGTCATTGAAGAAAAGCGCTCCAGGTGCAAAAATGGAAAAGCAAAAGAATAACATTTTTATGCTGTGCAAATGCGTCGGGATCTCATAAAATAAAACTTTTAGTAATAGGAAAATCGAAAAATCCTCGCAGTTTTAAAAATTTTATCTGTCCCGTAAACTACAGAAATTCAAAGTCTGCTTGGATGACTTCTTCCATTTTTAAAGAATGGTTCCACAAGTAAGTAAACATGTAAAAATAGTTCAATTGGGATTCTTACTGTTTTATTTTTCATTAAGGTGACAGATTTTTTAATGAAGAAACGATTACCAGTAAAAGCTTTACTCCTAATAGATAATTCCCCATCCCATCCACCAGAATCCGACCTTAAATCCGAGGATGGTTCCAAAGAAGCTATGTTCATGCCTTCAAATGTAACGGCTCTGATCCAGCCAATGGATCAAAATGCAATTAGAATCACCAAACTTCATTATAGGAACAGTCTTCTGGCAACAATTATTGCAAAAGAGGGGGATTTGCTTGAATCGATGAAAAAAATCACACTTAAAGAAGTAGTTTCTATTCTAGAGGCATCCTGGAACAGAGTTGGTAAAGAAACTTTGTCTAACTGTTGGAAAAATATTTTGAATATGGTAAATGATGAAGACGATCCTGAATTTAATGTTCCTTTGAGCGTTTTAGAAGAAAAGTGGCAATCAGAGGTTAGATCTCTAGAAAATAATGCTGCAGATCTTCTACAGACATTGTGCCCTCAGGAAGTATTTACTGCTGCTGTAAACATTAGAGATTGGATCAATAATCCTTGTGAGGACGTCACGCCATTTGATGAAAATTATTTAATTGAAGAGTCCGACGACGATGACGACTGTTTTATTGAAGCGCCTGACAACATTAAAGCCAAAGATGCTGTCGAAATTTTTAACAAAGCTGTCTAATAGGCTGAATTTCAAACGGTCGATCAAACTGACATTAAAGTATTGAAAAAAATCAGGGAATTGGCGGTAAATAAGCTGGTCGAACAAACGAAAAAACAGAAAATAATAACTGATTATTTCCATATTTATTTGTACTCTTTATAAAATGGATTTTTTAAAACTTTTTATGTTCCAAATAAATTACAAAATTTTTTTTAGTAATCTTTGCATTTTCATTCCTTGCAGAAATGATTTTTAGAAAGAATAACTTAGTAATATATATATAAAAAATCACAATCGAAAATGTGAACAAATTCGAAAATATGAACTACCCAGACATTAATTAGTTCACATTATCGAGAGTTCACTGTAATATTAATATATTGATGAAACTTCCTTATTTTTTATTACTATTTCTTTTTGTTTTACTAATTTTGTGACTACTTTAATATTAGGGGGGCGGTGGGTGGTGTAAAAGGAAATTGTATTGTTATTAAAAATCCTCAAAGTTCATAAAGAATATTGTCGAAATCCTCTATAGTAGTCGCTACGTATATTGGAGTGGTCCTGTTTGTCTGGAGAAAATAAAAGATGTCGATTTCCTTACTAAAATTCGAAGATACCGTTTTTAACAAAATTATATTATTATTTCCTGCTTTTTCATTTAAAATTGTCCTAATTTCAAACTGTTTTGTTTCGAAATATATGAAACATTTCAACAGTCCTTTTCTGAAATTCAAATGAATAATATCCCTACAAGAAATGGAACTAGTACCAAACTAGTATTTTACTAATACAAAAATCACCAGTACTAGTTCCCAACTGAAAACTTTCCTATACCATCTTAATGCTCAAATAACCATTGAGTGTGTTTCAAAAATTACAAATTATATTATAATAGTACAATTGGACCCAATTGGGTGCTTTAGAACCACTTAATTACTAGTTCTAATGTTCAAAAAGTCCTCATAATTGGTAATTTTACTCCTTTGCAATCCTCCCACTTGGTTCCAAGTAAAAAATACTACAAAATTAATTTCTATATTGTTTTATTTATGAAAAATTAAATTAAATAAAAAATTTTGTAAATACATTTACCTTTTATAATGCAAGTTAAAATTTTGAAGAAATTATGGTTTCTATCCACACCACCAACGTAGATATCGTGGATTATACATATAATGTCTACAAAATTGCCTTAAATACATTTGCGAATGATCAAATAAATATGAAACTCATTGCAATTTTTAAATTTAACAGATGTACTTACATAGGGCTCTGCATGCAAGTGGACTTAAACAGTCATTCACTATTTATCCTCTGATTTGAAAGGAAGTTTTTGTAAATTTCTTTTATTTTATGTAAAAACTTTGAAAAATCAGTTACAAAACAAAGTTTCATAAATTAAAGATTGTAAATAGCCCAGTCGCTAAAGACCATTTGAAATAAATTTTGAAAAACTGTTTATATTGTCTGTTGGGTAATTTAAAAGAAAAAATCGAAAAACTGAGATTTTCAACATGAACCTCTCCTATTTCAGTGAAATTCGGTACAATCATTCTTCATATAAATATGAAATTTAAAGTTTTCCAAAATTTTCAAATACATACTTTACGGTTTAGATTTTATTGATGTTAAAAGTTCATATTTAATTTTTTTTTTCAACAAGCTTTAATTTTGACATGGTTTATTTTCTAAATCAATGACGTTATTACATATATTTGTGGCATTTCAAAAATTTTCTAACAGGTTTTGTACCTTACCCTTTCTGATTTTGATGAAACTTGGTACACCCATTCTTTCTATAAATACGAAGTTTAAAGTTCTCCAAAATTACCAAATTCTTCACGGTTTAGATTTTATTAATGTTCAAAGTTCACATTTTTAATTTTTTTTTTTCAACAAGCAGTAAATTTGACATCTTATATTTTCTAAACTTAGTTATTTTTGAACTCACCACTATTAGTGATAATGAAAATTTTTGCATTATCACTAACTTCTAGTGGAAACTGCAATCAGAGTTTGCAGGAATTAATTATTATAATTAATTATAATAAAAATTAAATATGATAAATAATACAAACAAATATTTAATATAAAAATCTAATAAAATTAATGTTTTTTACCACCTTATTCACAAACAATATTTTTATTTTATAAAAGGTTTATAAAACAAAATGTCCGTACAAAATCTAATTTATAAACAGTTTATAAAATATTTTTTTTTGTGAATAAGGGGGTTAATATTTAACTCTTTGGATTTAAAGGAAACGTGCATACCAAATTATAGTGAAATATTAGCTCTGTTCAATAACTGAAAGTTGTTACTACCCAGCAAAAAATAATTGATGTCATACTTTACAAACGACATCTTAACCATATCTAAAAATGCGATTACATATTTTGCGCATTTATTAATGAAAACCCAGTTAAAAGTGAGAAAAGATATGTAGAAAAATCACAACAAATAACATATTCAAAGTACATCAAGTTTTGATAAAAAAACAATGAAATTTACAAAAGTTTGTCATTGAAAGACTGTGGTTTAATTTTGACATCCAAATATCGGATTTTTTCTGCTTCTAAAAATAAGATTAGATGTAGTTCAAAGTTGTTAAAAATGAATAACATCCCTCCAATGACACCCTAATGTTTAGATTAGGTTTAGGTAGGAAGGGTAGCCACTAAAAACAAGTTTAAGTGGCGTTATGCTAGAATGTCTCGCTATCTCATTTAGAGATACCCGCATTCTTGGGTTAACCTAGATGTCGTTAAGACATCCGCTAGGTTTTTGATTGCAGCTTTGCTTTCCGTATATATACGTATATCCCCCGATATTCGATAATACCTCAGCCAATTTATCGCTTGTTTTATAGCAGATATCTCTGTCTGTAGGATGCTACAGTAGTTAGGTAGTCTGAAGGCTGATTTGTTTTCAAATCTTTCAATGTAAAGGCCACCCATCCTACCGCTCCTTTTGGAGCCATCTGTGTAAACATCTCTTACATCATTGGGTGAGTGGGTCTCAGATACTGATTTCCTCTCGGGAATCAGAATGGAAAAGCGTTTATCGAAGTGAGGTTTCGTAACACAGTAGTCAACATTTAAATGCAAGGATTCGAAATGGTTTATAATTTGAGAGTGCCCAATATTCCTACCACCAGACTAAGAACCACATGCGTTAAGTCTGATTGCAGAATTAAGGGCTAGTTGAATCGCCATCAGGTCGGCTGGTAACCAGTGAGAAGTATTTTCCACATAGGAGGCAAAAAGTTATCGATCTTAAGTCTCCTAGTGAAAAGGACAAGCTCAGTTTTCAACGGATTCACACTAAGTCCGCAAGAAACGCCCCACTTACTAAGTAGGCTAAGAGCAGCTTCCATACAACTGGATATGGTATCTAGGAATTTACCCACTACAGCGAAGTTATCAGTGTTTAGCAAGAGTTTTTGCTAAATTAAATAGACCGATTATTAAAAAAAAAAAAACACTAAATAGCCGATGCGAAAAAAAATATAAAATTGGTGTTCACGATTTGGTGTTTAAAAAACAAGTGTTTTATTAATTTTAAAAATGGCAATTATTTTCTATATAGTATAACAGTTTTTTCTAAAATTACCCAAGCCTTACAAAGGGCAAGGGTGTAAAAAACTACTATTTTTTTACAAAAAGTTTAAGGGTTTGCAGTTCAATTCAAATTTTTTTTTTTTATATAATTATTTTAAATTCATTTCAAAATTCATTTTTATAAATTATTAAAATGGCCAAACATGCCGGGCCCATTGAAGGACCTTGGTCTTCAATCCAACGGAAGAAGCGCTAGCTTGTGAATTGGCCGCTTAATGACTCCGTTCCTCGTCCTCACTTCCGCTACTCGGATCTTGCCGTCTTGGCCTGGAATAACGGCTATTATTCTGCCCGTCAGCCACTGCATTGGCGGAAGATTGTCGTCGTGTACGACGACGATTTTGTCGACGGCGACGTCGGGCATTTCCTCGCACCATCGCGTCCTCTGTTGAAGGCCGAGGACGTAATCTCTCACCCAGGATCGCCAAAACGTCTGCTTGAGTGCGGAAATACGCTGCCATCTCTTCAAGTACGACAGCTTGGCCGACTCGTCTGTTGGCAATCCGCTGGGCAGCGCTCGAAGACTCTCTCCGACCAATAGATGAGCTGATGTCAGGGCCTCTCCGTCGTTGGGATCGCTGCTGACGGGGCATATTGGTCGCGAGTTGGGGATTGCCTCTACCTCTGCTAACAGCGTTGTTAGCTCTTCCGCTGTCAAGAGCGCGCTGCCAACGGTTTTCACCATCAGGTTCTTGGCTGACTTGACCGCTGCTTCCCACAACCCGCCGAAGTGAGGAGCCCTGGGAGGTATAAAGATGAACTCCATCCCTCTGTTGGCGGCGAACAATTCTGCCTGCTTCAAGATTTCTCCTCTGGCCTCTCGCAGCTCTCGGCTGGCCCCGACGAAGTTCATTGCGTTGTCGCTGTGGATTCTCGTCGGCATTCCTCTCCTGGCGATGAACCTTTTGAGACACAAAATAAAGGAATCGGAAGATAAATCACTAACAAGTTCTAAGTGTACTGCCTTTGAAGTGAAACATACAAATACAGCTATATACATTTTTACGGGTGGACGGCCACGAATTTTTAAAGTTACATTCATTGGTCCGCAAAAATCTACGCCACATATCTTAAATGGTCGCAAAGCTCTCACCCTATCAGCAGGCAAATTTCCCATTATTTGGTTCATTAGCTTTGGTATATACATAAAGCAATGAATACATTTCAGAACAATTCGACTGCATTCTTCTTTGGCATTAATTAGCCAGACTTTGTCTCGAAGAAGAGCTACTAACGCTTTAGCTCCTGCATGGCAGTTTTCGATGTGCAAATGACGTAAGTAAATAGTCATAAAGTGACATTTTTTAGGCATCAATAAGGGAAATTTCGCATCGTACGAGATTGCTGCATTTAGCAATCGCCCGCCTACCCTGATTAGTGAAAATGTTCGTTTGTGATCATTAAATTCGTGAATAAATGGATTCAGCTTTTGCAAATTCGATTGCAAGACTTGTGAATTCTGA